GTGACGACCTTTTACGATCAATATCAAGTATCATGACTGCCAAACCAGTGATGCCAGATGCTGGCACCACTGGTTTGGCTATTGGTCCATTAGCTGGACCAATAGCAGGACTACAAACCAACAAGTGAATTGATCAATTCTCCTCCTTCCACTCCCAGACAATCTGTTCAAATAACATTGATGCACAAATGAATGAACATTGAAAACGTTGATGCAATGTTTTTGCCCTTTTTGACCCAACCACTTGGACTGGATGGTAGAGCGACGGGCTCGCGTCATGCAGGTCGGCGTTCAATCCCCGACCGTCCACCAAGTGGTTGGGGCACCATTCCTTTCCACCGGCCCATCCCAAATCCTTATTTTAACTCCCTTCCAAGGGCTATATAGTCGTAATGGCTTGGGTGATTTTCCCAGATAGTTCCTTCCTTCCTTGTCCTTTTTTTGGGATACCTCACTCGGGCTGGGAGTCCCATCAAACGAATTATATCCCAGTTGGCAAAAGATGCACAAGCACTACGGGCTCACCATAGCCCGTGCTGGCCGGGCTCACCATAGCCCGTGCTGGCCGGGCTCACCATAGCCCGTGCTGGCCGGGCTCACCATAGCCCGTGCTGCCCGGGCTCACCATAGCCCGTGCTGCCCGGGCTCACCATAGCCCGTGCTGGCCGGGCTCACCATAGCCCGTGCTACTTGGAACTTTTTGTTCCAGGTAGCGAATCTTAAACAACAAAAGATGCACAAGCAACGAAGAATGAACGTTGATTTAGCAAAGTGTCTTGGCGACGTTTATCCCTTTTAAGGACGTGAATAGTGATTGGACTGATTCAAGACTGATTCGTGATTAGTCTCGTCGCCTTAGCAAGATCCAGACTAAAAAACTGCCAATTTAGCGACATTTCCGAGACATTTGCGAGTATGTAAGGTGTAACAATGAACAAATCCACAAGGGCCGTGACGAGGATTCGAACCTGCGTCCGGGAGCATCCCAGACGCTGCCTTAATCGTCTGAGCTACGACAGGGTCAACTTGCATCACGCAATTGTGATTTCTGGGTGTAATAAAGTGTAACAATGTTCATATTTACACAAATATTGTGTTCTGAACTTTATATAACAAGTAAAAATATAATAATGTGACATTAGTTCCAAGAGAAAAATGTTACATATGAATGTGTAAACATATAGTTTTGTGATTTTTGTTTTCAGTAGATTTACTGATGAAATTTTGATTAGATTTTTTGTTTTTTGTTACCAAATGTAATGTTAAACTTGTGTGTGTTTGCAGGTACGGGAGTGTTGGTGTTCCTGGGGCTAGAAACAACAGGTAGAGTGATCCAATTACATTTCCAACCTCGTTTTTTTGTTTATCATCAAAAACTTGTACCACTAATATATTCACTAAGTACAAAAAAATACATATTTATCAACTTCAACGATACTAGGGTCCGGTCGGCCGAGCGGACAGCACGCTGGACTTGTGATCCTGTGGTCCTGGGTTCGATCCCAGGCGCCGGCGAGAAACAATGGGCAGAGTTTCTTTCACCCTATGCCCCTGTTACCTAACAGTAAATAGGTACCTGGGTGTTAGTCAGCTGTCACAGGCTGCTTCCTGGGGGTGGAGGCCTGGTCGAGGACCGGGCCGCGGGGACACTAAAGCCCCGAAATCATCTCAAAATAACCTCAAGATAACCTGACCTGTACACTACACATTTACTCACTACACGTTACTCAAATCATTATGCCAAAACGTTCCCAGACTGATAATCAAGGTATGGTGGCATCCCAAGTGAGGAATAAATGCCAATGTATTACCTAACTGGTAGTTAACCTACGGGCTCGCCATAGCCCGTGCTGCTTGGAAGTTTTTGTTCCAAGTAGCGAATCTTAAACAACAACATGGTAGTTAATAGAGTATCAAGTGAATAGTACATTGTAACTTGCCAGTGGAAATAAATGGCAATCTGGCTAATGTATAAACCGTGTTCTCCCAATACGGTGATTGTTGGTTAAGTAGATTAAATTATTTAAAGTGCCACATAATTACCTTTTGTAACGTATATAAATATTTTTTGTGCCAAAAAATATGCTTATGCGAAAAAAATGACGACGAATTTTATTAAAATATATATTTATAATTAAATAAAGTAAGCTAATCTTGCCTGAGCAAATGTTGTTAGTGGTGAAAGGGTACAATAAAGATATGGTAACAAGTGAAGATTATTAGACAGTGAATCGAATACACATACATCAATATGAACATTTAAATACAAGTACAAAATACATTATATTGTATGAGAGAATGTCTGCCCACAGTTGGTTGCCGGACACTTAAGTCTGTCCAGCAGTTCGATGAAAAGTTCTTGAACTCGCTGTTCTTCACTAAGGCTCCCCTCACTATGGCACTACGTCTATGGCATCTGTTCTATGGCATCAATCTGTGACAACTCCTCTTTGGCACCCTTCCTATGGCATCCCTATATGGAAATCTTCCTTGTAGCACCCCCCCCCCTCCCTGGCACCCTATGTATGGCACCTCCTCTTTGCCAACTGTATATCACTCCCTCCTGTATGGCACTCTATGGCACCACCTCTGTGGTTCCCCATCTATGGCACCCTCCCCCCCCCCCTTTTTGTGGTTAGCTAACTCCACTTCTGTGGTGAAATTTTTTTTAAGCGATCTACCTAATAGGATCTATTTACCCCCCTGGTGTATATTTTCCCTATTTAAGTGTATATTTCCCCTATTTAAGTGCATATTTCCCCTATTTATACCCACCTCCAAACAGCATGTCCCCAAGACGTGCATCTTAGCCTTTTCTTCCCATTAGGCGAAATATGTTAGCACAATAAGTTGCCGTACAGAGATCCTTATCGTGGCAAGTTGAGTCTCTGCAAAGGATTATAGCGCCGCAAATTTTATTTCCATCGCCAGAGTGGGACAGGAGGGGAAATTATGCCAATTTCCGGTTGGCCAGTTACGGCACCGGTCGGGCTCTGCGGGCAAATCACCCGCATATGGTTAATTTTATCAAAAGAAAATGAAAATTTTAGTAAAAGGTAGAATAATGGGAGTTTTTGTGTACACAGGAGGTAATAGAGTCGCTATGGAAAGGACGTGGGAGAGGGAGAGTGGAGAGAAGGGAGTGGTAAGGAGGATGGGAAAGTAACTTCTTAGACAGCAGATTGTAAAGAGTAAATCAAATCTGTTGGAATGGAAAAATAGTCGGTTGGTACAAGGAGAACTGAGTGGGAAAGCTAACTTTTTGATAGTTTCATGAGAAAATGGAAACACGAAACAGAGATTTAGAGGAAATAATGGAACAGATTTAGAGGAAATAATGGAACAGATTTAGAGGAAATAATGGAACAGATTTAGAGGAAATAATGGAACAGATTTAGAGGAAATAATTGAACAGATTTAGAGGAAATAATGAAAAGAAGATTTAGAGATAATAATAAAGTTTGTGAATAGCAAAATGAAAAATTAAATAATTTTGGAGAAAAAAAGGAACTTTGTAAATGATAAGCAGGAAAAAAAAAATGAAAATTGAAGGGCAAATTAGTAAAAATAGATTATTAAATTGTATTTTAAAACACGTGTAAATAAAAATAATTAGGGTTGTTTGGATTAAATTAAATGTTTAATATTTGTATCATTGTAATAACTTCATAATTGCATTTCTATATGATGAGCAATATAAATATATATATATATATATATATATATATATATATATATATATATATATATAATATATATATTATATATATATATATATATATATATATATATATATATATATATATATATATATATATATATATATATATATATATATATATATATATATATATATATATATATATATATATATATATATATATATATATATATATATATCTCCCTTCACGGAAGCAGACTATTCACACAATCTAAGATATGTTGATTAACACGAAAGCGCTACAGCTTCATCGCGGATGATTGGATCTCAGCTGTGATGATTGTCGTCCGGATTGGGAGTGACTATTGGTCAATCCTTCCTCAAGACTCTGAGAGGTGTAGACGGATTACGTTGAGAAAACTTTAATAATCCCAGGAATATTGCGAGCGAAGGACGCAATTCCCAGTGATTGTTAACAATAGCCGCTCGTCACGGGGGCATAAGTCAGTTCGCATATAGCCATCACCGGGGGCATTGATTGATGAAGATTAAGCCACCCAAAAGGTGGCACGGGCATGAATAGCCCGTAAGTGGTGGCCCTTTTGAGCCATTACCAGTATCAAGAGCTGATACTGGTGATCTGTGGAGGCCGTGCAGAGTGAGGACCCCTCTATTTATCCTCTAATTGATTGATTGATGAAGATTAAGCCACCCCAAAAGGTGGCACGGGCATGAATAGCCCGTAAGTGGTGGCTCTTTTGAGCCATTACCAGTATCAAGAGCTGATACTGGAGATCTCTGGAGGCCGTGCAGAGTGAGAACCCCTCTATCCTGTAATTGATTGATTGATGAAGATTAAGCCACCCAAAAGTTGGCACGGGCATGAATAGCCCGTAAGTGAACCCTGCGTGACGGGAGATGTCTACGCGTTGCGGAGTGCATCATGCCCTTTGCTTGTCATTAGTAATCACAGTTTATCTTACAAAATATCAGAGTTATACATCCAGGACGCGCTAGCCAGGTCTGGTAATTTTGCATTAATATTTCATGATTTTGCATACAAATTCTGGCATTCGTGAATGTGTAAACAGTTTTATGCAAATTTAATTGCAGCCAATGGTGTTCCCGTTGGAGATAAATGGTATTTGGAAAGTGTTTTCATTTGATAATTTACGGTTGATTAGATTCCATATCAGTTTTATTCTTGATTTTGTATAAATTTTTTGGGTTAATTCCACTTCGAATCTTTCACACCAAATTTTTCAGCTGAAAAAAAAAAAAAAAAAAAATAATATACAGATTATGATAGCGTTTAGGAGGAAATATTTCTTTCCTACAGGAAAGAGACTGTAGGAAAGAATTAGAAGAATTGAAGAAAGACTTGACTGTTCTTCAGTTTCATCAGTCATTCATCTGTTCATCTGTTCATCAGTCCTCGTCTGTCTGTATGTTTCATACCCTTCCTCTCCGGGTCGTCTTTGGTAATATCTGAACAGTGGTCACTTTATGGCTAGTTTTTCACCACAGTGAGTTATTATACATTATACATTGTTCACTATACTCATTATAGTACTTTAGACACTGGAGATAGTGTATTATAAACTGGTGACAATACATTATTCACTGGGGACAGTACATTATACACTGGTGACTACATTATACACTGGTGACAGTACATTATACACTGGTGACTACATTATACACTGGTGACAGTACATTATACACTGGTGACTACATTATACACTGGGGACAGTACATTATACACTAGTGACTACATTATACACTGGTGACAGTACATTATACACTGGTGACAGTACATTATACACTGGTGACTACATTATACACTGGTGACTACATTATACACTGGTGACAGTACATTATACACTGGTGACAGTACATTATACACTGGTGACAATACATTATACACTGGTGACAGTACATTATACACTGGTGACAATACATTATACACTGGTGACTACATTATACACTGATGACAATACATTATACACTGGTGACACTACATTATACACTGGTGACAATACATTACACACTGGTGACAGTACATTATACACTGGTGACAATACATTATACACTGGTGACTACATTATACACTGATGACAATACATTATACACTGGTGACAGTACATTATACACTGGTGACAGTACATTATACACTGGTGACTACATTATACACTGATGACAATACATTATACACTGGTGACAGTACATTATACACTGGTGACAGTACATTATACACTGGTGACTACATTATACACTAGTGACTACATTATACACTAGTGACAGTACATTATACACTGGTAACAATACATTATACACTAGTGACAGTACATTATACACTGGTAACAATACATTATACACTGGTAACAATACATTATACACTGGTGACACTACATTATACACTGGTGACAGTACATTATACACTGGTAACAGTACATTATACACTAGTGACAGTACATTATACACTGGTGACAATACATTATACACTGGTGACAATACATTATACACTGGTGACAATACATTATACACTGGTGACAGTACATTATACACTGGTGACAGTACATTATACACTGGTGACTACATTATACACTAGTGACAGTACATTATACACTGGTGACAATACATTATACACTGGTGACAATACATTATACACTGGTGACAGTACATTATACACTGGTGACAGTACATTATACACTGGTGACTACATTATACACTAGTGACAGTACATTATACACTGATGACACTACATTATTCACTGGTGACTACATTATACACTGATGACAATACATTATACACTGGTGACAATACATTATACACTGGTGACAATACATTATACACTGATGACAATACATTATACACTGGTGACAATACATTATACACTGGTGAATGTACTTACCGAAACGTTAATACGTCAATAACGTGACTGGTAAACTTACAATGAACTGAGAGGTACTTACAATGAGCCTTCAGAGCTTGGTATGAACACGACACCGCTTCCCACAGTAAAAGAAAACTTGCTAACACCTCTATGTACGATCACATTCTCAAGCTTCCATCCGTGTTATCTTAATCTGTTAGGTTATCAGTGCGTTCATTTCCTGTGTTTCCACTTTGTAAATCTCACTAAATTGTCTATTTTCTCTCTCTCTCTCTCTCTCTCTCTCTCTCTCTCTCTCTCTCTCTCTCTCTCTCTCTCTCTCTCTCTCTCTCTCTCTCTCTCTCTCTCTCTCTCATTTCTAGTGTCATAAAAGTGAAAAGTTCTTTCACACTTTCTTCATACCTCATCCCTCGCAATTCTTGGACCAGCCTCGTTGCAAACTTCTGAAAAATTTCCAAGTTTCCTTGTGTTTTTTAGATGGGAGCTCTGCAATAGGGGGGATTATATATATATATATATATATATATATATATATATATATATATATATATATATATATATATATATATATATATATATATATATATATGACAGTGTCAGACCACGCCAGAAAATTGAAACAGGAATTTCGTATATTAATATATCTTCAGAAGGAGTCAATAACAGGAGTCGTATTAATATACGAAAGTACTTAAGGAAATTCCTGTTTCAATTTTCCTCCGTGGTCTGACACTGTCACATATAATATATATATATATATATATATATATATATATATATATATATATATATATATATATATATATATATATATATATATATATATATTTATACCCGCATTAGGTCAGGTGATAATACAATGAAGGTGAAAAACATGGGGGGATACATAAGGGATAAACATAGGGGTAACTGCAGAAGGCTTATTGGCCCATACGAGGCATCTCCTATCTAAACAAAGATTAATCCAGTGTAATTGGCCTGTTGTGTTGGACATTGTCTTCTGTGTTGGCATCGATATGTTCTTGTCTTGTCCTTACTCTCATGGTGGGTAGAGTAAATAGTTCCGTGATTTGGGTGTTCATGGTAGGTCGCTCTATTCTTATGTGAATTGCCTCAAGAATTTGTAATCTTCTTGAATCTTGGGTTTTGTCTATTATGCAAGTATTCTTGTTCAACATTTCTCTTGTTAGAGTAATGTCATGGGCTTGTCTCATGTGATTCCTAGGGGCACCAGATTGAAGATGGCATGTCAAACGCCTCGTCAGCTTGGTCGACGTCATACCTATGTACTTACATTGAAGGTTACATCCTTCGTGGGGGCAAGTGTACATGTATACAACGCTTGACTGCTGTAGAGGGTTCTCCGTCGGCTTCGGGCTGTTTTTGATAAGGAGTTCGGAAGTCTTCTTGGTTTTGTAGAATATTATCAGGTTTATGTTTTGGTTAGGAGTAGTGCTTTTTACTCCTTTACTTTCTATATAATATATATATAGAGTGGTGATGTTACAGAGTGGTGATGGTTACAGAGTGGTGATGGTTACAGAGTGGTGATGGTTACAGAGTGGTGATTTGTGTACACTTTTTGAACTCTGTGGCGGCCACACACTAACTCTTCTCTAACACTAACATACCTACACTCGTATACCAAGTGCATCAAACCAACACCTACACGCCTCTACACCAAGTGAATCAAACCAACACCTGCACGCCTCTACACCAAGTATATATATATTTATATATATATATTTATAATATATATATGCCTCTTTACACAAACTTTATTTTTTTGTTATCTATACACATGTTGCGTCGTGCAATCTTTCAATCAAACATTCTCAGATCTTGGCAAACATTCTCAAGTTGCTCGGTCCTTTCACTAAACATTTACACAATGAGACTCGGGGCTAGAGCTACAAAGCTCTTGCCAGGAAGAGCTACAAAGAGCTAAAAAGCTCTTTGGTGGAAGGACCAATCCTTCCACCAAACTTACCCACACTAAGTAGTTCGTCCCGTCTTCCCACATATCTTTTTCAAAACATCACATATATAGTTTACATAAAACATTGTATTAGCATCTTTGACTAATTCCTTATATCTAATTCCTTATATTCCTTATATTATAATTCCTTATTCCTTATATATATAATTCCTTATGACAATGTCAGACCACGGAGGAAAATGAAACAGGAATTTCCTTAAGTACTTTCGTATATTAAATACATCTTCAGAAGGAATGCATCTTCAGGAAGGAATTTAATATACGAAAGTACTTAAGGAAATTCCTGTTTCATTTTCCTCCGTGGTCTGACATTGTCACATTCTTAATCATGTGTTTATTATCGTGATATACACACATAATTCCTTATATATGTTTTGCTATCTGAAACTGAAAAGAGCATTTTGAAATTTTGTATTTTGAATTTTTTTAGTATTTTGAAGTATTGAAAAGAGTATTTTGTAATAACATACCCCAACATACCTTCCTCTGTAAATAAAATTTTCTGTTTCTTGAAAACAAGAATGATGATTAGGTTACATTATAGCTTACTCATTATAATTTATAGCTGAAACTGGTTATCTCCCGCTATCCTCTATTAACATATATATCGTTATCCTTTCTCGGGCTCATTCCACTTTGGATTTTTTTTCCTCTGTTTAGTGTCTGGGTTGAATACCGGTCTGGAAGCTCTGGTTACAGAGTGGTGATGGTTACAGAGTGGTGATGGTTACAGAGTGGTGATGGTTACAGAGTGGTGATGGTTACAGAGTGGTGATGGTTACAGAGTGGTGATGGTTACAGAGTGGTGATGGTTACAGAGTGGTGATGGTTACAGAGTGGTGATGGTTACAGAGTGGTGATGGTTACAGAGTGGTGTTTTGTGTACACTTTTTGAACTCTGTGGCGGCCACACACTAACTCTTCTCTAACACTAACATACCTACACTCGTATACCAAGTGAATCAAACTAACACCTGCACGCCTCTACACCAAGTGAATCAAACTAACACCTGCACACCTCTACACCAAGTGAATCAAACTAACACCTGCACACCTCTACACCAAGTGAATCAAACTAACACCTGCACACCTCTACACCAAGTGCATCAAACTAACACCTGCACGCCTCTACACCAAGTGCATCAAACTAACACCTGCACACCTCTACACCAAGTGCATCAAACTAACACCTGCACACCTCTACACCAAGTGCATCAAACTAACACCTGCACGCCTCTACACCAAGTGCATCAAACTAACACCTGCACGCCTCTACACCAAGTGAATCAAACCAACACCTGCACGCCTCTACACCAAGTGAATCAAACCAACACCTGCACGCCTCTACACCAAGTGAATCAAACCAACACCTACACGCCTCTACACCAAGTGAATCAAACCAACACCTACACGCCTCTACACCAAGTGAATCAAACCAACACCTACACGCCTCTACACCAAGTGAATCAAACCAACACCTACACACCTCTACACCAAGTGCATCAAACTAACACCTGCACACCTCTACACCAAGTGAATCAAACCAACACCTGCACGCCTCTACACCAAGTGAATCAAACTAACACCTGCACACCTCTACACCAAGTGCATCAAACTAACACCTGCACACCTCTACACCAAGTGCATCAAACTAACACCTGCACACCTCTACACCAAGTGCATCAAACTAACACCTACACGCCTCTACACCAAGTGAATCAAACCAACACCTGCACACCTCTACACCAAGTGCATCAAACTAACACCTGCACACCTCTACACCAAGTGCATCAAACTAACACCTACACGCCTCTACACCAAGTGAATCAAACCAACACCTGCACACCTCTACACCAAGTGCATCAAACTAACACCTGCACACCTCTACACCAAGTGCATCAAACTAACACCTGCACGCCTCTACACCAAGTGCATCAAACTAACACCTACACGCCTCTACACCAAGTGAATCAAACTAACACCTGCACGCCTCTACACCAAGTGAATCAAACTAACACCTACACGCCTCTACACCAAGTGCATCAAACCAACACCTGCACGCCTCTACACCAAGTGAATCAAACTAACACCTGCACGCCTCTACACCAAGTGAATCAAACTAACACCTGCACGCCTCTACACCAAGTGAATCAAACTAACACCTGCACGCCTCTACACCAAGTGAATCAAACCAACACCTACACGCCTCTACACCAAGTGAATCAAACTAACACCTACACTCCTCTACACCAAGTGAATCAAACCAACACCTACACTCCTCTACACCAAGTGAATCAAACTAACACCTACACTCCTCTACACACCATTCCTTTTATTACAACACAGCACTGGGAAGGGGGTCAGGATAAGGATTTGGGATGGGACGGGGGGAAAGGAATTGTGCCCCAACCACTTGTGGACGGTCGGGGATTGAACACCGACCTGCATGAAGCGAAACCGTCGCTCAGGAGGAGCGGAGGCCAGATACTAGGTACCGAATGGAAGATGAACCCATCCACTAGATAGAGATAGAAGGATCTAGTGGTTAATAAACCGAACTTGTCTCTTGTGGCCCACATTAAAAGGATACCATCAGCGGCGTATTCGAGGCTGGCTAACAGTAAAAGTGTAAGGAATCATTTTAGACCCTTGTAGGTTATCTTGAGATGATTTCGGGGCTTTAGTGTCCCCGCGACCCGGTCCTCGACCAAGTCTCCACCCCCAGGAAGCAGCCCGTGACAGCTGACTAACACCCAGGTACCTATTTTACTGCTAGGTAACAGGGGCATAGGGTGAAAGAAACTCTGCCCATTGTTTCTCGCCGGCATCTGGGATCGAACCCAGGACCACAGGATCACAAGACCAGTGTGCTGTCCGCTCGGCTCGACCGGCTCCAGTGGTCTGACGTATGTATACCACATACGTCAGACCAATCCTCGAGAATGCGGCCCCAGCGTTCAGTCCATACCTGGTCAAGCAAAGGACGAAAATGGAGAAGGTTCAAAGATATACCACAGACTTGTTCCAGAGCTACGAGAGAAAGAACAAATCCACAAGGGCAGTGACGAGGATTCGAACCTGCGTCTTAATCGACTGAGCTCCCAGACGCTGAGCTCTTGAGATGCTCCTAGACGCAGGTTCGAATCCTCGTCACTGCCCTTGTGGATTTGTTCATTTGATGCATCACGTTAGTGTGATCTCTGTGTGTGTAGGAGAGAAAGGCTTCGTGAATTGCATCTCAGCTTTACACCAACACCAAGCGACTCATCGTCCACTCCTGTACACCACTAAATCCTCACATCCACGGGCTAATCCTTTGTCCAATCCTCACATTCATCGGACTAATCCTTTGTCCAATCCTCATCGGGGTAATCTAGTCCCGGGTCACCTTTGTTGTGGGGGCTCAGGACTTGGTGGGCAGAAATATATGGTTTTTGCGGGTTAAACGCTATAGAGACTAAGAGGGCTCTGTCCTCTACGAAAAAGCCCAGTATCAAGGGGGCCAGATTCATGAAGCAGTTATGCAAGTACTTACGAACCTTGGGCCAGATTCACGAAGCAGTTGCCCAAGCACTTACGAACGTGTCCATCTTTCCTCAATCTTTGACGCCTTTGGTTACATTTATTAAACAGTTTACAAGCATAGAAACTTGCCAATCAACTGTTGTTATTGTTATAAACAGCCTCCTGGTGCTTCGGAACTCATTAGCTGTTTAATAATTGTAAACAAAGCCGCCAAAGATCGAGAAAAGATGTACAGGTTCGTAAGTGCTTGCGTAACTGCTTCCTGAATCTAGCCCCAGTTCACTATGCTGTGGCTCTTTCTCTCGGAAAGTTGATTTTGAGTTTTTGTAAACATACGTTAATTGTTAGTTGAATGTTGTATTCAATGACAACTACAACATCCCTGGTGCCCGCAATAGGGGGAAGGTTGAAAGAATATATATTAATCAAACTAATTCACGGCTCTGCACAAATACACTAATGTATTTGTTTGTGATGAGTGAAAAATCTAGGCTCAGGACCATATCACTTTTATTTTTTTATTTTCTGTCAGTTCGCAAAAGCACTCCTGACTAGTATCATTTTTTAGCCCTGCTAATGGTCGCATTCATTGCCCAGATGGCTTGGAAAAGAACTGGGAAAGGAAGAAAGAGGAGGAATGGAAATTCTGGAAAAGGAGGTGGGTTATGGAACCTTGCTATAAACAGCATGGGAGCCGGTCGGCCGAGCGGACAGCACGCTGGACTTGTGATCCTGTGGTCCCGGGTTCGATCCCAGGCGCCGGCGAGAAACAATGGGCAGAGTTTCTTTCACCCTATGCCCCTGTTACCTAGCAGTAAAATAGGTACCTGGGTGTCAGTCAGCTGTCACGGGCTGCTTCCTGCGAGTGGAGGCCTGGTCGAGGACCGGGCCGTGGGGACACTAAAGACCCGAAATCATCTCAAGATAACCTCAAGATAACCTCAAGATGCTAATGCTTTCACCTATATCGATCGACTACTACGCTTCTAGCCTAACAGTTCTAACATGCACTTGTAGACCTGCCAGCCGTCATGTTACAGTGGTCGATGGTCGATGGTTCACTCTGTTACAGTGGTCGATGGTTCACTCTGTTACAGTGGTCGATGGTTCACTGTTACAGTGGTTGATGGTTCACTCTGTTACAGTGGTTGATGGTTCACTCTGTTACAGTGGTTGATGGTTCACTCTGTTACAGTGGTTGATGGTTCACTCTGTTACAGTGGTTGATGGTTCACTCTGTTACAGTGGTTGATGGTTCACTCTGTTACAGTGGTCGATGGTTCACTCTGTTACAGTGGTCGATGGTTCACTCTGTTACAGTTGTTGATGGTTCACACTGTTACAGTGGTTGATGGTTCACTCTGTTACAGTGGTCGAGGGTTCACTCTGTTACAGTGGTCGATGGTTCACTGTTACAGTGGTCGATGGTTCACTCTGTAACAGTGGTTGATGGTTCACTCTGTTACAGTGGTTGATGGTTCACTGTTACAGTGGTTGATGGTTCACTGTTACAGTGGTCGATGGTTCACTGTTACAGTGGTTGATGGTTCACTCTGTTACAGTGGTTGATGGTTCACTCTGTTACAGTGGTCGATGGTTCACTCTGTAACAGTGGTTGATGGTTCACTCTGTTACAGTGGTTGATGGTTCACTGTTACAGTGGTCGATGGTTCACTGTTACAGTGGTTGATGGTTCACTCTGTTACAGTGGTTGAGGGTTCACTCTGTTACAGTGGTTGATGGTTCACTCTGTTACGGTGGTCGATGGTTCACTCTGTTACAGTGGTCGTTGGTTCACTCTGTTACAATGGTTCACTCTACATCGAGCTGTGTGAGAGAGAAGGAAGGAATTATCAGGGGGAAAGCGCCAAGCCATTACGACTATATAGCACTGGGAAGGGGTCAGGATAAGGATTTGGGATGGGACGGCGGGAAGGAATGGTGTCCCAAGTGATTGGGTTGTGTGTGAGAGAGAGATGTTGGAGATATGAGCCTAACAGAGACGTTGAGAATATCTCACGAATGTCGATGGGGGAAATCCATTATTGTCTACCCTATCAATTCCCCTGAGAATTTTGTATGTGGTAATCATGTCTCCTCGGGTTCTTCACTCTCAATCCATGGTCGGTGGGTATGGCTCGAAGATGAAAAATCTAATGAAATATATGTGTGTGTACTCACCTAATTGTGTTTGTGGGGGTTGAGCTCTGGCTCTTTGGTCCCGCCTCTCAACTGTCAATCAATTGGTGTACAGATTCCTGAGCCTATTGGGCTCTATCATATCTACACTTGAAACTGTGTATGGAGTCAGCCTCCACCACATCACTGCCTAATGCATTCCATTTGTCAACTACTCTGACACTAAAAAAGTTCTTTCTAACGTCTCTGTGACTCATGTGGGTACTCAGTTTCCACCTGTGTCCCCTTGTTCGCGTACGTGTGTGTGTTTGTGTGTGTGTGTGTGTGTGTGTGTGTGTGTGTGTGTGTGTGTGTGTGTGTGTGTGTGTGTGCGCGCGTGTATTCACCTAGTTGTGTTTACGGGGGTTGAGCTTTGCTCTTTCGGCCCGCCTCTCAACTGTCAATCAACTGTTTACTAACTACTTTTTTTCCACACCACACACACACACACTCACCCCAGGAAGCAGCCCGTGACAGCTGACTAACTCCCAGGTGCCTATTTACTGCTAGGTAACAGGGGCATTCAGGGTGAAAGAAACTTTACCCATTTGTTTCTGCCTCGTGCGGGAATCGAACCCGCGCCACAGAATTACGAGTCCTGCGTGCTATCCACCAGGCTACCAGGCCCCTGTGTGTGTGTGTGTGTGTGTGTGTGTGTGTGTGTGTGTGTGTGTGTGTGTGTGTGTGTGTGTGTGTGTGTGTGTGTGTAATGGTTGGTGGATGGAAGGGCCTCGTCAGCGCGTGTCTGGAGGACTGTTTGATCGTGACAAAGGGCTCCAGTTCCCCTGTGGTTTTCCTGGAAGGAACTGACAAGGTCTCTTCCCCCAGGGTAAAAGAGGAACTGGGAATAACACCAGGTATTGTGAGGCCACAACCCCACCCCCCCACAACCCAACTCACAACCCCACCTCACAACTTCCTCACTCCGCATGGTCGTAGTGAGGAATGTTCTACATCTTTCAATAAGGGGCTCACCATAGACCGTGCTACTTGGAACTTGTTCCGAGTAGTTGAATCTATAACAGCAATATACCTTGATACCTTGAGGTTACCTTGAGGTGCTTCCGGGGCTTAGCGTCCCCGCGGCCCGGTCGTCGACCAGGCCTCCTGGTTGCCGGACTGATCAACCAGGCTGTTGGACGCGGCTGCTCGCAGCATAAATATAACTTTCAATAATAAGACAACTTTCTTATTGCCTTTCTAGTCGATATTTTGCATATTCTCACGAGGCAATATATTCCGGATAGCAATATTGGTTTAGAAATATTTGATATATGTGTTTCGCATGGAAAAGGTCTTATTCACTACTTAAGTGGAAAAGAAGACGGTCCATGACTTAAATCTGCTTTTGCCTGGGAACAATCGTTAGGGAAGACAGGAGAATTGTATTTGTTTTAGATTTAGCTAATCAGAACGAAGTGTCCATGTAGCACGGGCTATGGTGATCCCGTATGTGGACAGGAGAAATCAGAGCTTTGATGCTACTCTGAGAAAGTTGCCGCAGGAGGGGGGGGGAGAGTTGTTGATGTACGACGGACATCTTAATTAAGGCAGATTCCTGGAGCTAGATTCACGAAGCAGTTACG